AAAGCATTCATTTTACGTTAGGAAGTGACACATTTTAAGCATATTAGCAGGACTTTTGTTCCACTCTGTCCACTAATGCTTCTGTTACCATGCTTTGCTTGCACTGACAGCTGAGATAAAGTTCTGCCAATTAGTTCTCCTTTAAGCAGGATGCAATGTACTGGCTTTGGGTCCAATTCAGATTTTAAGTCAAAGACAGTACCAGCTTTGAACAAAACAGCCTCGGGAGGGTTCACTTCTTATTTATTGTGTGAAGTCTATCTAATGAGTGACAGTAGAAGTGCTGGTTTTTCGAGGTCATAGCTCTGCATATAACGATTCTCCCACTCATATTTTCAGATCTTCCTTTCATGCTTCTATAGTTCAGGTGTGCTGTTACGAGAAAACCTATTTATTTGGGTTTTGGGAATGCTCTCTTTAATAAGAAACCTGTACTGCATTTGCAGACTACACTAGGGAGTAGATGGCAGGAATCCAGAAGGGGTCAGACACACCAGTAAGTGTGCTGTATGCACACCTTCTTGCTGCCTGCTGTGGTCTCTACTGGCTATTACCTGCCACGTGAGTCACCTACAGATATTGCCACCTGCCTCTCTGGGTCGTTTCTGTAAGTACAGAGAGCAAACTGCTTCAGCTCTTGTTCCCCCAACACTGCCACATAGCAAAGGGAGCTGGGCTGGGCTGCCAGAATGCTCAGCTTCATCTGTTTGCTCCACAGGCACCACTACGCCACCTCTACCCCTTCTTCCTTCCTTTCCATGGTCACATCACTTCCTATTCTTCACCCTTAGCCTCATCATCTGGTAAAGCACCATCCAGGTGCCCTCTATGCATTCTCTCCCCTCTTCTACTCTACCAGTGGCAACAACATCAAGACAGTGCACAGCTGCTTCTCTCACCACCCCCTCCTCCTGTCTCTGGTGCTTTCTCTGCACAGATTGTTCTCTCTTGAATTGCTCTGTTTGCTTCCACTTCCCTCCTCAAACGGTCCCAGAAGTCAGCCAGCTTGAAACAACCTGGGCAAGTGTCACATACCAGCTATGCCTATGCCTGCAGTGTATTCAAAAACTTAGTATAAGATGCAAACCTTTCACCATGCTCAGACAGGGCACGGTTCTCAGATCAGGAGTGCTCAGCCCACTGCCCACAGCAGCACCTGCCATGCCAGGACAATTACCCTAGCCTTCACATCTCCTTATTCCAAGATGCACATGGGGAAAAGGCTACAGACAGACCAGTTCTTCCTCATTTCTCTTTTTCTTAGACTACACTGCAGCTTGAACAAGTGCAGTGCAAATGTTACATGCCTGTGTGTCACTCTGACCCCTGAGGAAGCATCAGGCTTGCTGTGTGAGGACAGCTGGTCTGTCATCTGTTAGGTAATGGTCCCTAAGGTGCAGCCTTTCCTTGACAGTGTCAAAAGGTTAGGGATCCCGATGAGTCTACGGACTCCTCTAGGCTAGGACTACAGCTTCTCTCCTGCTGCATGGAGCCCACTGAGTGTGCTCTGTGTGGTGCTGGGGTTTAAATGACTTTATCCCTGGGACACCCTGTTCAGCAGCAGGTCTGACACAAAAGCTACCTGTTGGAGGTACCCATCTGCCAAGTGTGTGCAGGCTGCTTTCCCAGCCTTGCAAAGTCCTCAATCTGCATTTAAATCAGTTTTAAGCAGAAGGTTAAAGCAGGAGTAAAAGAAACATCTGAGGCCTGGGCTCTCCAAGCAGACAGTTTAGAGTGGTATTCCCCTAGAGCACCAGAGCAAGTCTTTTCTCCCAAGAACGGTAAGGCTGCTGGGTGTGAGCGTGTATTTTACACCACTACTGGGAGGAGGAAACCCCAGGAAGCATGATCAGGCCTGGCCTGACTTCAGAAATGCTGCCACTCCATCCTTTCAGCAACACACACTATACCCCCAGAGGGGAAGGTAATTACATGCCAGGCAATTCTGCTGCTGCTGCACCTCCTCATGAAGCAGGCAGCTCTGCTGGTCCTGGGCTGCCCTGCTGGGCTGCCTTTGGTGGCACTGTCACTACAAAAGCTCCTTGGTGCAGCTGCTTCTTGCAGTTCTCACTAGTGGACATTGAGAGTGGATACAGACTAAGAGCAGATACTTGTTGCTTCCTCACCTTTCCAGACTCTTTGATTGAATCTGAGCAATTTCTCCTCTCCCCTGCATTCAGCAGCACCTCTTCTCTGACACTTTCCCTCCCTGAAACAAGAAATGTCCCCTTTAAGCCTTCCTGCAGCCCTTCTTCCCTCCCAGGTACCAGGAGGTGCTTCAGAGGTCCTCCACCACTGCCAGCAGAAGTGAGCACAGGGATGGCAGAGCGGGGGCTGCAGAACAGCTCTGCGAGCTGTAACACTTGCCCCTCTCTCATCAGTAAGACCCCATTGCCAGCACTGCTGCCTCTCTGCTCCTCAAGGACAAAGGGACTTCACCTTCCTCTCTTTTGTCTCTACCTTTATCAGACTTTCTGGAGCCTGGTTGAACACAGAGGGAGAGCCACTGCAGAGAAAAGGATCTGCCCAGATGTCTGGGTTACACAAGCGAGGGAAATGATGCTTTCTCTGCATACACAATCAGGCCCGACATAGCCTAGCCTCGAAGTGGATTGCTGAGTTTGTGAGATTTCTTCTCATCAGTCTTCTCCATGACTGAAGGCAAGGAATTAACCATTTCCGTTTCAGAAAATGTGCTGCACTTGAGCACAAGACCCTAAACAACGTCTCTCTCAAATTCACAGCATCCCACAAAGCTAATTGCTCAGACCCCACCAACTTCAGGGCTCTTTGTCTAACACTAAGTGTGTTACCTCTACAGTTTCCTAATATAAAAAAATTAAAGAGTGGCTTCAAATAAAAAAATGAAGAGCTCTTTTATCAGTGTTCTCATCACATTCCATGTCCCCAAGAAAGCCTGGCTGTACGAGTCCTCCCCTAACTGTACCCAACTAGTTTCCCTCTCCGTGCAGTCTCAGGATGAACATTCTGAGTTTCTCACGCATGCACATACTGTGCATTTTTTTAGCATCCTGTCCATGTAACCATGTTTTCAGACTGCAACCATTGTCCTCAAACATGCACAGAACAAGCTGACACACTGACAACCTGGTGTGAAGCCACTGAACTCAGCAGTGCTACACCACCAAATGCTTTGGACAGTCCTGTTAAAGTCCTGTTAAAGGCTATTGCTTATGCCACTGCTCTAATCAAATGGATGAGAAGTGCCCACGGCCCGTCTGGATGGGGCCCTGGACTGCCTGACGTGGTGGGGAGCTGTCCCCACAATGGGACTGGGGGGGCAATCCAAGCCATTCTGTGCTTCTATGAAGTGGATGTCTAAGCTCTTGAGAAATGCATGCCACAATTGGTACTCTGGATCGTTCATCAGTTTTAACCATTCTTAGAATGAGAGCATTAGGTCTGTAATTACAATATGGTATTCTGAGGGAGCTGGTGCAAGTAATCTGCAAAACACTCATCAAGTGACTTTTCCTGTCTGTGCATGTAAGATTTTGCTCCATTTAAGAGAAATACAAAGGCAAGCTTAGCCACATACGTTTTCATGACACCTTCTTCATACAATCATAATGGTTGGAAAAGACCTATATGCTCATCCAGTCCAACCATCCACTCACCAGCATACTTCCCACTACACCAAAGTACCACATCCACGTGTTTCTTGAACCCCTCCAGGGGCAGTGATTCCATCACCCCTCTGGGCAGCCTGTCTCCATGCATCACTGTCCCTCCTGAAAATAAGTATTTCCTAACATCCAACCTGATATCATTGGATAATCTTGAGAGAGTCTCGGTCAGTTCCTGCAGGAGAGATATTGAGATTGAAGCCTGTCATTACTGAGGAAACCCAAAAAGCTCCCAAGGGATGAATGAGGAGAGAACAACCTCATCCCTCCAGGTCTGGGCTGAGTACACCAATGTAATGCATCACAGACACCTCCTGATCCCCCATGTGTTCTGGGGGTAAATACAGGACTTTCCAGCTCTCTGAACTATTAGCCAGTCTGCAAAATTTTATTACAAGTCAGGAAGAAAAAAGAAACACACAAAGAGCATCAATTCATATGCAGAGCAGTAATTGCATATGTGCTGCTCAGAGACAGGCTTCCCTTCACATCTAATTAAAAATTTTTCTGTGAATTAATTGCTTGAAGAATGTTATTTTCTAAGCCAGAGGAATTAAGGTGGACAAAACACCTAGAAGTTGACGGACGCCTCCAAACTCTGCCGTACTGCGCCCTTTGCGTCCTGCTTCACCTGATACCGCCGACAGCTCCAGCCCTCCCCCGACTCCTTCTGTCCTTGGGATCACCGCTGCTCTCCGAGGGCCGGAGGTGCCGCAGTCCGAGCAGCCCCCGCAGCCCCTACGGGAGGAGGGCACTGCTCGGAGCTCGGCTCGGCCGGGACGGAGATGCCGATGTGATGCTCGCGGGCACCTGCAGCGGTGTTCGCCCCAAGCCTGAAACTTCCCCCTCACCTCGTTCTCTTTTTCTCGCAGTCTGCCTTCCCCAGCACCTCTGCACTGTCTCTGTCCCCTTGTTAAGTGAGAAACCCCACCGAGGACCACACGGAGGGGCTTCCTGCGCCCAGAGACCTCTAGGCGGATCCTTCCACGACCCCCGTGGGGCACGGACCCCAACCCCGATCCCCTCTGTCCCCTCCGCTCCGCCGCCCAGTTCAGAGCGCTCCGTCCGTCCGAGCTCCGCCGGCCGTCCCCAAGGGCGGCCCCGGGGTCGCGCTCCCATCGCTGCCGGCAGGGTGGGCAACGGGCGGGGACGGCGCACTCACGTTTTTCGGGACCGCTTCACTCTCAACGGCCGAACGGGTGACGGCAGAAACTTGGTGACGGGCTGCGAGCCGGGCGGGACGGCGCTGTGAGGGCAAAGCGGCGATCCGCTCGCGGCGCCCAGGAGCGGAGCAGCAGCCCGGCGGGAGCCGCTTCCCTGCAGCCCGTCGCCGGGGGTCGGCGCGGCACTCACCTGGCAGCCCGAGGCAGAGCAGCAGGCTGTAGTAGACGACGGGCGCGTACCCCAAGCCACAGCCATAGCGGTGGTGCGGCACCAGGGAGCCGTTGTGGAGGTGGAGGTGGTTGTGCTCCATGGACCCGCTCTCCCCTCGGCCGCGCCGCCGGCGCTCGCTCCGCCGCCCCGGCCGCGCAGCCCGCCCGACCCTCGCACGCTCAGCGGCGGCGGCG